TCCACTGCACTCTAGCCTGGGCAATAAAGTGGGATTCTAACTAAAAAAAAAAAAAAAAACAAGAAAAGAAAATAAACTAAGTGGTAACCTTTTTTCCTCACCTGCAATGACTGCATTTGTGGAAGCTACTGCAGGAATGATTCGTTTTACTACCCCTGAAAAAATATATTAAAATATGATTATTTCTTTTTAAAAAATAGTTATCTTAAATTAGAAAGTATGATTATTAAACACCATTTTCTGAAACCTGATTTTTCAGGCTTTAAAGTCAGAAAATAAACTTAAGTTAACCATAAAACAATCCTCTTTCACATTCCCATCATTTTGTAGTAATACATTATGAAGAATAAGAGTTACCCAATTATTCCTATAATAGTTTCAGCCATTGCAGTTCACAAAATTCACAACAACAAAAAAACTGCCCTTTGTAAATCTTTCTTTTACTCTACAACCTGGGCTACACAAAATATTAAACATAGTTCTCCGTCTTAACCCCACAATTTTCACATCAGTGTTCACATATTAGAAATAAATGAAGCCCATCTTAAACCATTTTTCTAAAGTATAAGACAAATATTTTCATAACTTTATTTGAATTGTCCATTTCAAAAGACAAAAACTTCTGGGAAAAAAAAGTAGTTATATTGTCTCAGAGTGTGAGGACGCACTGCAAGATGGGTTTCCAAGATTCTAGGTAGGCAAGTTTCAAAAACTTAAGAAAAATAAGCAAGTATCTAAGAAGACATGAAAGAAAGACAATATAGTTACTTTTTTCCTGAAGTTTTTGTATTTTAAAATGGATAATTCAAATAAAAAGACTTTTAAAGAGTTGACTCTGACCATGTAATTTGTACAGCTTTAGGAAATGGGAAATTTAAAAAGTGATAAGCCTGATGATGGTTAAACTGGAATCTCTCCGGTGAATCATATATAGCAAGATATTACTGAAAGAAAGAACTGGTAGTCACCAACAGCGAAGTGTATGAGAAGAGACTACCCAATAAGAGCACAGCCAAAACATCAAGATTCCCTCTTTCTCCTCCCCTGCCATGTCCTGGCCAAAAAAAGCTGGAGTGGGCAGAAAGGAGACTTTCTGTTATACTGAGAGCAAGGAAAATAATCATAGAATAGATAGAACCACTGCTTGTGCTTTAACTTTCAATTTTCCTTCTGTACTCTCAGCAGAAAGTACAGAAGAGAGGCTAAAAAAGTACACACCAAGTCTGGGTAAAGGTATGGAGGATGAATGAGACTACTCATTAAAATGAGCTTACAGTTTCTGACCAGAACAAACTGAATTCATCTGTTCATGTACACTACATGCCAGACACTGTTCCAGGTATTATGCATGGTAGCAGTGAAATATCTGCTTTATAGAATTTTCATTTTGATGGGAGACATAACTCCCAAGAAAATGTATCAGAAAATGTTAGATATTGAACAGTTCTATGAAGAAAATAATATGAGGTATGTGTTAAGAGTGACAATGATGAGGGCAGTCCATTAGATGAATGGTCAGGGATGGCCTCCTTGGGGAACTGATAATTTGAGCTGAAACTTAAACCAAGAGAAAGACCCAGCCATGCAATGTATGGAAGAAAAAGCACATCTGTAAACGGCAGTGGCAGTGGTCCTAAAGCAAGGATGTGACAGTTTAAGTGTGAAATATTCTTTGCATTGGAAAATGAGGCAACCATTAATTAATTTTGAGCAATTACAAACAAATTAAAATAGTGAATGGCTCAGAAGTCATTTTAGGTTGAATGATAAGGAAAACTAGTTAAGCAGATACCTGAAGGATAGGAGCTAGCCTTGAAGGATCCAAGGAAAGGGCATTCTAGACAATAGGGACTGGGGAGTATTCAAGTTCTAAGGTACAAATTAGTTTAATGAATTCAAGGAACACAAAGCCAGCCAGTATAGGGAGAGTGCAGGGGGCAACAAAAGGTGAGTATAAACGGAATTTTCAAATGACATTACTAGAACATCAGTAAATGCAATAAAGTAATCATAGGGGAAAAATGGCAGATTTTCAAAGAGATGGCAAGGCTCTTTCCAGTGAATGTGGCAATGATCATGGGCAAAATTCTAGAAAGGATGAATTATAACTAGACTGGAAGTATTGATCACTACTTTTTTAAAAATTCTTAATTGTGTTTATTTATTTTATTTTTTAGACACTGGGTCTCACTCTGTTGCCCAGGCTGTAGTACAATAGATCACTGCAACCTCAAACTCCTGGGCTCAAATGATCCTCCTGCCATAGCCTCCCAAAGTGCTGGGATTACAGGCATGATCCACTGTGCCTGGCCTATGATTAAGGATAAATGTTCACTGAGACAAGTCATGTTGGACTAGCCTCATTTAGTTACTGTAACTAGCTTGGCAGCACAGGGAAATGTGGAAGACTATATATCTAGGCTTCAACAGAGCAGCTGGAAAGGTTTTTCATGACATCCTTGTGAACAAGATAAAGAAATATAAAGTACTCAAGAAGTTCTGATTAACAGGACAAAATAAACCTAGAAGGGCCTGGGCAAAGGTATATTCTCATACTGGTCTCAGACAGTCCAATCTTGTTAAAAATGTTAATCAAAGCCGGGCTCGGTGGTTCAGCCTGTAATCCTGCACCTTTGGGAGGCTGAGTTGAGTGGATTGCCTGAGCCCGCGGATTTGAGACCCGCCTGGGCAACAAGACCTCATCTCTACAATAAATCAAAAAATCAGCCGGGCGTGGTAGCGCATGCCTGTAATTCTGGCTACTTGGAAGGCTGAGGCAGAAGGATAGCCGGAGCCCAGCAGGTCGAGGCTGCGGTGGCCAGGAGCGGCCACTGCACTCCAGTCTGGGCGACAGAGTGAGACTCCAACTCAAAAAAAAAAAATGTTAATCATTTGGAAAATAAATAAAGATATAATGATTATCAAAAGAACAGGTAAAATAAAGCTAGAAAGACTAGATAAGATGGCTGAATATATATATTCTATATATATCTATACATTTTGAGAGAGACAAAAAGAGAGAGAGAGAGAGAGAAGCAGCAGGTTGAATTTTAAGAGTAAATTTCTAAGAACCTATAGTTGGATTAAAAAAAACAAACAAAAACCAAAAAACACTCCCCAAACTTCCAAGTCTGTAAAAGGTAGATGCAGTTTAGCAATTGCATATGTGGACAAAATTTCCAGCTTTCTTGGATGGTAACATCAAAGAATCAAAAGTAGAACATCAGTGTAAATAACAAACAAACAAATGACAGCCAAAAACAACAAAACTGCTCTCCTTGAAGACAGCATCAACCATCACAAATCAATTTATCTGAAATAACACCAGTCCTAGAATGCTGTATTCAGGCCTAGACAGTTAAAAATATAGATAAACAGAATATGGTTAGAGAAAACCAACATGACAAGAACCTAAAGCTATACAACATATCAAAGGGCTAAAAGAAGCTAAGGAGGTTTACGGCAGTGATACAAATTTGGAAAGGATGTGATCTCTGTCCTCAATATGTTGAAGGCTATTACTTAAAAGGGAATTAGATTACATATGGTACTAGGACAATATTCAAACCAAACTAAAGATGAAGTTTTCTGCTCAATATACAGAATAATTGTCTAACAGTCTTGTCCAAATGTCCCCAAGAGGTGACCAATTTCTCTTCAGTGAAAGATTTGGTGGACAGTTTGACTTGGATGACTTACAGTTTCTTCCAATCCTAAGTATAAAAGATTCAATGATTTGATTAAATTCCTCCTAGTATGGATTGTGAACTTGGTTCACTCTTACTTTGAGACATCTGAAAGCTATTATTTTCACAGGACCTTTACTGAACCTCAAATGGTAGTCTAAACTCAATTATCAGTTAATCACCAAGAAGCATCCTTAGCCCTAAAAAAAATCATTCCAAAGTCATAATTCATAATTCACTAACTTACCTTGAGTAAGTCTGTATGTAACACCCCTAATATTGTACTGTGATGCTCTCTCTAGGGATTTTTGGAAAATCCATTGAATATGTTCAGGATCATCTCCATCTAATGGAACCCCTTCTGTTTCAAAAAAAAAAAAAAAGGAAGACTGAAATATGTACTCACAAAGCAATTTGTTTTTAATGAAATTATCCAAAGGAATAATACAGAAAAAAATATATCTTATGTAATTCTAGATTATTAAAATAAGTTTATTACCTCCAAAAGGTTGCTCCTTAGGCCACTGCAACATCCTTACATATTCAATACAGTGTTCTGGTAGCCTGGGCATAGATGCAATGGTGCACATGGGAAAATTAACCTAAAACCACAGTTTGTCTTTTTTTAGTGAATTTTAAATACTATTTTAAAATGCAACTTCCTGTAATGAAGTAGTTTGTAACAGATTCATATAATTCATCTCAGTCCTCCACTTATATTAGCAAAACATACCATTAATAATGCTTCTAAAATAGAAAGCATCTGAGTCACATCACTTAGGTTGATCTACCTATAATGTCCTACATTTACAAGGAATATGAATTTAAGCTTTTTAGACCATGAGAAAAAAAGTTCTTAAATACAAATACCTTATTAAATTTACCTATTAGTTAAATATGAAGTATAAAACAAACCAAAAGTAAATTCAGAGTTAAATGGGTTCCAAATGAATACTCCTAACATTGTTTAAATGTATAATTCAAAATTTCTGTTGCCCTTTAAAATGGGAATGTAAATTAAATATCTCCATCCATGCAAAGATCATTCTCATCCCTTGTATCTTTATTTCCCTGAAATAATTAAAGGTGAAAACGAAGTAGATTATAGCTCTTTGCCAACATACATCTTTGTAATTCCATTTAATGCCTACTCCTAAAATTATAAATTAATACTGGCCGGGTGTGGTGGCTCATGCCTGTAATCTCAGTATTTTGGGAGGCCAAGGTGAGAGGACTGTCTGAGCCCAGGGGTTCAAGACCAGCCTGGGCAACTTGGCGAGACTTCATCTCTACAATAAACCAAAAATTCTTCTCACCAAACACCGCCAACATGGTGTTCAGGTGCTTTGTGGAGGTTGGCCGAGTGGCCTACATCTCCTTTGGACCTCATGCCGGAAAGCTGGTAGTGGCTGTAGATGTTATTCATCAGAACAGGGCTTTGGTTGATGCACCTTGCACTCAGGTGGGGAGACAGGCCATGCCTTTCAAATGCATGCAGCTCACTGACTTCATCCTCAAGCTCCCACACAGTACCCACCAGAAGTATGTGCAACAAGTCTGGCAGAAGGCTGATATCAATACAAAATGGGCAGCCACAAGATGGGCCAAGAAGATTGAAGCCAGAGAAAGGAAAGCCAAGATGACAGATTTTGATCATTTTAAAGTCATGAAGGCTAAGAAAATGAGGAACAGGATAATCAAGAAAGAAGTTAAGAAGCTTCAAAAGGCAGCTCTCCTGAAAGCTTCTCCCAATAAAGCACTTGCTATTAAGGGTGCTGCTGCAGCCGCTGCTGCTGCTGATAAAGTGCCAACAAAAAAAGGCGACCACCGCTGCAGGCAAGAAGATTCCAGCCCAGAAAGTTCCTGACCCAAAAGCCACAGGCCAGAAGGCAGTGCCTCCTTCAAAAGCTTAGAAGGGTTCAAAGTCTCCAGCCCAGAAAGTACCTGCTCCAAAGGCATCTGGCAGAAAGGCATAAGAGGCTATCATAAAAACAGATGAAAGTTCTTTTTGACATGTTGGAAAAAAAAAATTAAAAGGGTGTGGTGGTGCACGCCTGTAGTTTCAGTTATTTGGAAGGCTGAGGTGAAAGGATTGCCTGAGCCCAGTAGGTCGAGGCTGCAGTGGCCTTGAGGGTACCACTGCACTTCAGCCTGGGAGACAGTGTGACTCCAGCTCAAAACAAAAAAGAAGAAAGCAAAAAAAGAAATTAATACAAATAAAATATAAAAACACAATAGTATCAGAACTATAATATTCAGTTCATATCTTTCCTCAAATATGCAGAATTTCATATCTTATTATCTTTCCTCTTAACATAATTTTAGAAACATGGTTACTAGTAATTAAAAATCCTAAATATGTTAGCAGACAGCTGATGCTCTCATTGTTGTCCTGCCTATTGTGACCTTCACAACGTATCTTTCCTTTAATAAATCTATCTTTTAAAAAAAAATCCTAAATATTGACCAGACTTAATAATTCAACCCTAATTCCACGTCAAGATACTAAAAAAGAAATGTCAGTGCTTTCTGATTACCTGTGGTGGATAAAGTTCCAGTGTGCATTCAATACAAGCAGTCATTCCAGGCAGAATCACCCGGGCATTGCCTTTAAAACCTTCTGTCCCCCCATCTATCAAAGGGACAATAGAGCTTGGATCCAACACACCATCTTCATAATTCAGAAGAGATATCTGGGAAAATAATTTGAAGAATTTAAAAAGAGAAGGGTTGATAAGAATTCAAAAAATAGGAACATGCTTTCCTTTTTTTTTTTTTTGAGTTGGAGTCTCACTCTGTCACCCAGGCTGGAGTGCAGTGGCACACTCACAGCTACCCCAGCATCAACCTGCTAGGCTCCGGTGATCTTCCGCCTCAGCCTTCCAAGTAGCCAGAACTACATGCACATACTACCACACCTGGCTAATTTTTTATTTTATTGTAGAGACGAGTTCTTGCCGAGTTGCCCAGGCTGGTCTCAAACCCACAGGGTCAGGCAATCCACTTGCTTCGGCCTCCTAAAGTGCTGGGATTACAGGCTGAGCCACTGAGCCTGGCCTGGAACATGCTTTCATGTAATTTTATGAATTAGTTATGCTATTAAGTACTAAAGTATCAAATCAAGGGATTATAATAACATCAATTTCTGTCCTCACCTGAAAACCAATGACTGACAATAAACAGTAAAATACATCTACTTAATTCAAAATTAAACAAACTCTGATTTTTCCAAAATATGATATCACTTCTAACTTTTGGCATGTCAAGAGCAGCAGTAAGAACTTCAGACAACCGTAACAACATTAAAGTCTTTACCAGCATGCCATTTATCCATCTTCTGGCTATGATAGAGTCCAGTCCACATACAATAATATGAAATTCTACAAGAAAAAAAAAATGCAAGTTTAGTTTTTAAAAATGTAGTTGCATGATGTTTCAATGCAGGTTCTTAAATTGCAGCAAATGTACCACTGTGGTGCAGGATGTTGATAGCAGAGAAGGTTGTACATTTATGGGAACAGGGAACTCTATTATAACTCAGTATTTAAAAATTTTTCTGTTCAATTTTGCTGTGAACCTAAAACTACTCTAAAAAATAAAGTTTACTAATTTAAAAATAAACAACTGCACAAAATAATTCACAGTTTCTAAGAAACAAACAAAACACAAGTGCTTTTTATTATAATCCCACACAGGTACTTAGAGCTCCTAATCCCTGAGTAATACTTCTTATTCATGTCAGCATTAGAAAAGTGCAGCTAGTAGTGTCAACTAAAACAGTGGTACTCTTTTCAGTCATCAACAACCTTACTGAAAAGCCAACAGTAAAAGAGGAAAGCAAGTGAAGAACTAGCTTTTAAATAGCTAGCAATCTTCAAATAGGTAGCAACTAAGAAATTTTAAGAATTTGGGGAGAATTTCTTTCCAAGTGAGTAACTTACGTCGATAGAAAGTGTCATTAAAATCTTGAATCTTGTTGAAATGTCTGAATACAAGTAAAGAAATTTAAGTGGCTGTTTTTAATTTCTAAATTGAATTTAACAATGCCATAAGGAACAAATTCTGTGTGTATACTTAAAACAAGAAATAAGTAAACAATGTTTAAATCAGTGGAATTTTAGGAATCTGACTACATGAACACAACCTTACTTTCTGACAAAAACTTTCTGCCATTCCTCCTGCAACTACTTAGTTTTTCTCATTCTTGAACCCCTGTATCACTATATTTATGTCTGTTAGGAGGTATACTTTCCACATCACTAGCTTTTATGTAAAACGATAAGCCCCAGGAAAGCAGAATATGTTTGTCCTCAACCACCAGCACCAAGAAAAGACACGATAAATGTTTTAGAGAAGGAAAGAAGTACATTATATTTCCTACATGACTTGTTACTGCAGACTGGGCATGGTAGCTCAAGTCTGTAATCTCAGCACTTTTGGGAGGCCGAGGCGAGAGGACTGCCTGAGTCTAGCACTTCAAGACCAGCCTGGGCAGCTTGGTAAGACCTAATCTCTACAAAAAATTAAAAAATTAGCTGGGTGTGGTGGCTCAGTTTGCCAGACCTAAATAACAGGGATAGACAAATTATGCATACTGCCTCCTCTTCTTCCTTTTTCCCTACAGGGGTCTATATATGTTTTTGCTTTGAAATAATACAGATTCACAGGAAGTTACAAAGACAGCACAGATAGGTACCCTGTACCTTTCACAGTTGCATCCATCTAACTATATAACACAGTATCAAAATCATGTATTCGACATTGGTACAATGTATATGTGTAGTTGTGTCATTTAAACGTGTTGATTTGAGTAATCATCACCCCAATCAAGATCCATACTTTTCTATCACAACAAAGATCTCCCTCTGGCTACATCTTTACAGTCACTCCAATCCCCACCTCCACACCTAATCCCTACCAACAATTAATCTGTGTTCCATCTTTGTAATTCTGCATTCCAAGAATGTTATAAGAACAGAATCATACAGTATATGACTTTTTGAGACTGGCATTTTGCATTCAGCAAATTGCCCTTAAAATACATCCAAATCGTTACATCTTTCATGAGTTATTCCCTTTTATTGCTGTGTAGTATTCCACAGTATGAATAGACCAGTTTAACAATTCACCTACTGAGGGAAATTTTGGTTGTTTCCCGTTTTGGTCTACTACAAATAAAACTGCTATGAACACTGGTGTACAGGATTTTTATAGGGTCTTAAGTATTCACTTCTCTGAGATAAATGTCCAGAAGTGAAATTACTAGGTTGAATGGGAAATGTTATGCTTAGCATTTTAAGAAATGGCCAAACTATCTTCCAGAGAGATATACCATTTTACATTCTCATCAGTGTATGAGGGATCCAGTTTTTCCATATCTTCATCAGCATTTAATATTGTCATTATTTTTTTTTTTAGTCTAACAGGTATATGAGAGGAGAGTACCTCACTGTTTAGTAAAATATCTCTTCATATCTTTTGTCCATTTTCTCACTGAATTTTTTTTTTAACCACTGAGTTTTCAGAGTACATTATATATAGAGTCCTTTGTCAGCTACTTTAAAAGTATTTTCTCCAGTCTATAGTTTATCTTTACATCCCCTTAACAGGGTCTTTCACAGAGTATGTCTTTAATTTTGATAAAGTTCAATGTATCAATTTTTTTCTTTTATGGGTCATGCTTTTCTAAAAAATTATTTTATTTTTTAGAGATAAGATCTCAATATGTTGCCCAGGCTGGAGTGCAGGGGATATTCAGAGACCTCAGCATAGCTCAGCTCACTGCAGTCAACTCCTGGGCTCAAGCAAGCCTTCCAACTCAGCCTCCTGAGAAACTGGGACTACAGCCACATGCCCCCCCACCCCCCTAGAGCTCTTATGTCTCAAGCTTTTGATATCAGGCCCTAAATCCCAAACATCTTCTATGTTATATTCTAAAGTTTTATAGTTTTACATTTTATACTTATACCTATAATCCATTTTGATTTTTAAGTTTATGATAAGATTAATCTTTTGCCTATGGATATCCAATTGCTCCAGCACAATTTAAAGAGATATATTTCTTCCATTGAACTGTTTTTGCACCTTTGTCAAAAATGAACTGACCATACTTGCACGGGACTATTTCTGGCTTCCCTATTTTCTTCTAATTATCTATGTATCCTCTTAAGACTGACAGTCTGACAATACCATACTGTCTTGACTACTATAGCTATATAGTAAGTCTAGAAATTGGATTGTGATTCCTCTCACCTCATTTTTTTTTTTGAGCATACTTTTGACTTGCTATATCAATTTGAAAATATGCTCATCTATATTAACAATTTTGCTGGGATTTTAGTAGAAGCTGTGGTACACATGTATACAAATTGGAGAGAAGTGACATCTTGACTACTATATTGAATCTTCCAATCTTTGAAGATGAGCTCTCTCTCCATTTATTTAGATCTTTTCTTATTTCTTTCATCAGCATTTTGTAGTTTTCACTACACATCTCATATTCATCTTGTTAGATCTACACTTAAGTATTTCTCTTTTTTTAAGCACTTGTAAATAGCTTTTTTTTTCCTTGAGTTGGAGTCTCACTCTGTTGTCCAGGAGTGCAGTGGCATGATCACCACATGGCAGCCTCAATCTACTGGGCTTAGGTGATCCTTCCACCTCAGCCTTCCCAGTAGCTGGGGCTTCAGGGACTACCATCCCCGACTAATTTTTTGATTTATTGTAAAGAGGTCTCATCATGTTGCCCACGCTGGTCTCAAACTCCTGGGCTCAGGCAATCCTCTCACCTCAACCTCCCAAAGTGTTGGGATTACAGGCATGAGCCACTCACTGTGCCTGGTCAACACTGCATTTTAAATTTTAGTGTTCACGAATTCACTACTGGCATATAGAAATACAACTGATTTTTTATGTTGGTTTTGTATTTCTTCAATGGAATTTCCTACATTGAAATTCCATATCCTAATTTTCAAAA